GCAAGTCGTTTGTGCTCTCTTGGACCACATGGGAATTCCTTTTTGACGTTGGTTAAAGATAAAGTAAAATATTCTGATCGGGGTCCAGTCGTTCCGTACCGCCTCCGTCAATCCGTAATAGTCCACCCGTACCAAGGTTTAGTTATTTTCGCTTTGTGTCTAATAATATTTCCTTCACATCAGAGGTTTATACCTTCATTCGTCACAATGGCAATGATTCGACCCCTGTTAACTGCGTCTGTACAGCAACAAGGATATGTATGTCTCTGCCACCACAATCGGTCGTATCGATGATGTATCGTTAGTTAAAATACACCTGTGACATAATCCTGCAAAGGATGCAACATTATTGGAAGCATCTGAAACACATGATACTCTTAGCTTCGTACTCGTTACTCTTTCGTCGGCAAACACAGCATTAAATTCAGATAAGTAGGTAGCAACGGGGTCATGTGGAAAAATTGACTTATTGCGTTTGATAACTGTAATGGATGGTATCATATATATTATACATGTATGGTCATGTCCACTGTGTGTACAAAGCACTTGAGTGCTCAGCATATCGTGCATGCGTGAGCCCTTTGGTAAATCCGTCTTCGGTTGTTTTTGGGTTGGTTTGACTCCATAATTATTGACGCTAATATTAGTTTTATGTCCATTTTTAAACCCTCCTTACTAACATACTCACGCAGCAACACAAACTTTGGGTCACGTCTGACAACTTCAAGCCCATCTGTCAGTCATCCCGGCAAACAGCACAGCCTACTTTCTAAGATTTTAAAACACAAATGTTAAACACATACATCAGGAACACTTGAAAATATTATAAATATAGCCCAAGAAAATCTCTTTGTGGAACAATACGTTACTTAAACATAAAGTACCAAGAGTGAAATATAAAATTCTGAATACGGATTCTCTCAGAAAGGACAGGCACGACGAATATGTTGGAGTGAATCATATCCTTAAGACAGATAAGGTGAGTAAACCTATATACATGTAGTTACGCTCATACTGTGAATCTATCGCCCGGTCTTTGAAATATAAAAACTGTAAAAACAATAAATGCCGGATTGAAGTAAACGTTTGTCGCCTTCCAAATTGCACTCCTGACGCAAAATGTATGTTCGATGTTATTCGAGACACAAGCAGCAACAAAAATATCAACTCCACCATTTACATTTGCCGACACTTAAACCTGTCCTATATGGATTTAAAGGACAATTCTATGACTTGGCACTAGTACCTGAAAGCCATAAATGACGCGTCGGTATCATTGTAGAGGACCTTGTGCTCCAACAAGCCGTCAACTCAGATGCGTGAACACGCTGGACCAGTTTGTCAGCAACCGTCCATTCCTTAACAAAAGATGTGAATGTGTCCCTGGTATCAGTGATCACAACATCGTTTACTAATTTTTGATTCTCGATCTAGCATTCAAAGGCAACAATCCAGTATTCACTGGTTGAGGAAGGGAAACTTGAAATCGCTGAGGAAGTCCTCCGAAGACAATTCATCCGAATCTTCAAGAGAACGTTCACGTTATGTGGCAACACCTTGGGTCCAAATCCATCTTCAACGTCGTTCTGGTAATAACTGACAACAACACGATCGAAGATGCAGAAACCTACCAGACCTAAAAAAATGCACCCGATAACTCAAACTTCAAACTGCACATACAAATGGGTTATTTTAAAACATGAGTTAAGCTATATCAACTTATATTTACCACTCTTTTTGGCCCGGAAGTTAAAGCACGGGATTCTTAATGTGGGAGGAAATCGGAGTACCCGGAGAAAAAACCCCGTACATGTAGTCGGGACAGGTTACCCTATACCTCTTTAAAGGATCCACTGCGCCACCCAAACCCCTTCTCATCTTTGAGGCGAGGTCCCATATGTAGAGAGCATGCAAGGATGCTTAAAACGATCACGTCAACAACATGATTATCGATGACGACGCCCACCCAAAACATTCTGGCACCTCTTCAAATGTGCACCCATAAAACAGAACTGAATCCCATCCTCAACACTCGGTGTCCACTTTCTTGTCGAATGAGAAACTCTCAACCATAACAAAGTTAGAAATAATCAGCAGGTAGTCTGATTCCCCATACACAGAGGATTGGAATGGTGGAATCTTAAAGCTTCTCCGTAACATGACCCCTATCAAGGCGCCCCGACAAATTGCATCGACTATTCAAAAGAAAATGCACAGGAATTAGATGCTTGTATTTCTCTTCCTTGAAACCTCTAAAAAGAAGGGGGAATTCACACGCTCTTTTGTTTCCAATTTTCTAAAAAGATGATCGCGTCCTCAAATTACCGATCAAACTCTCTGACATCAATATGGTTGTAAATAATCGAACAGGAGTACATTCTAACCGAAAGCCAACAAGGATTCAGGAAAAGACAGTCCAGCAATACATCGTTATTTGTCGCAATCCAATATCTCGCGAAAAGACTGAATAGTGGATAAAGGAACACCAGTTTGCTGAGCGTCTTCTCTTGAAATTGCACCGCTATGACGTTAGCGGCAGCATGTTGGAGTGAATTGATGAGATCTTGTCACATCATAACCAGGCTGTTGCCCTTGAAGGAAAAACATCGAAGGTGCAATCTAAATGTATTTCATTGTCGAAATTATCATCGTCTACAACTACACATCCCTGACAGTACTAGTCGTTTGCGGAAATTTCAATCCTGTATATAATTTGCATTCATTTCTTGTGCCATACACTAGGAATACTGCTTTACTATTGCTATAAATTGATCATTTTTTAATGATTATTAATTAGTTTGTACATTATCTGTTAGTTTTTCATTAACATCAAAGGAAATAGAGACCGAAATCTTAATTGTTCTTGATTCGATAATTGTAAAATAAAAATTTAGAAGTTCACATTAATTGGTGCTTTTATAATTATAGGCACGCGTGTCAAGTTGACTAAATTGCCTTTCCCATTTAAAGTGAGTATTGGACTTGAGCAAGGCTGCATCCTATATCCGTTGTTGGTTTCAGGGGAAGGCCACGCGCACATGATTCAAGCATGTGACCTTCTAAAAATAATATCTAGGCCGTAGATCATGTATAGACCCTTTCACTAATTTTTGCAGACATGCGCACAAACGCCACTGAGTGGGTAATTTCGGTTTCCGCTTCCGCATTCCATGTTGTTTACATTAGAAACGGTGTCTATAGTATGGCTAACCGGGATAATTTAAACAAGCTCGGCAATGACGCATTGAAATTATTGGCTTCCGAGAATAACATCGCCAAAGAAAAGAAGAAGAAGAGTGAGCTGGTTTCACAGTTACTGTATGCACAGGCTCCAGTTTCTGCACTGACCGCAGTGTTGAGTCAGTCATCTGGCGTACTTGCGGTTTCGCCGAATGTAAAAGAAAACCTACCCCCTTTTAACCAGGTTACATACGGATCGGACCTCACACAATTACCAACTATTAAGTTTAATGACATTTATGAGTTTATGATTTTGCGCCCGACTGACTCGGGTAGTTCTGTAAAAAAAAAATAAGAGGTTTAGACAGAGCTACTAAACACTATGATGCTGGCGATGTCCAAGGAGTTTCCATAGCACAGGTACTGTAACGTTACTGAATATACGTCTGGAGCATACAATGACCACCAGATTGGAGTATCTCCTTTTTCAGCATCTGGTTTCAAATGTGTAACAGGTTTTTGTTTAGACTACATGCATTTGGTTTGCCTTGGAGTGGTGAAGAGAATGCTGTGGTTTCTCCGAAAAGGTCCACCTGAGTGCAGACTTTCACAAAATCTTACTTTCGTCTTTTTCTGGACAGCTTCCGTCTGAATTTGTGCGACAACCGAGATCACTGGTAGAACTTGACAGATGGAAAGCCACAGAGTTTCGACAATTTTTGCTGTATACTGGGCCAATTGTTCTTAGAAAAATTGTTCCAAAGAGCACATACCATCATTTTCTATCACTAACTGTAGCCATTTCCATTCTACTCGATTCAAGTGACCACAAACGTGAAGCATACATTGGCTATTCAAAACAGCTCTTAGAGTACTTTGTTGACAAATCGAAAGATATTTACACAGAAACTTTCTGTGTTTACAATGTCCATAGTTTGAAACATTTGGCTAATGATGTTAAAAAATTCAATTGTTCTTTAAACAACATGTCAGCATTTCCATTTGAAAATCATCTCCAAACAATTAAAAAATTGGTAAGAAACGCAAATAATCCTATTTCGCAGGTGGTAAAACGGATTGCAGAAATGGAAACATGTGGAGTGCAACATGAAAAGAAAAAGTGCGCAAATTTGTATTACATTTCAACTAAAATTAGGAATGGTTGTCTCCTTCTACAAAACGAGGATTATGCGTTTGTTAAAGAAAAGAGACACAATGGACAACTTGTATGTGACATTGTTCGTCAACAGGACACCGAAGACTTTTTCACAGAACCTTGCAATTCCAAGTTGATAAACATTGCCTATATCAAAAACTTCAACAGAGTTCAGAAAAGAAGAAGGTTACTTGAAGCCCACGAGGTGTCCCGAAAAGTAGTTTGCTTGCCTTATAGAAGAGGCTATGTCTTGCTGCCATTATTGCATGGTGTGGAAAAGAATCAATGGTAAATATGTATTCTGACCAATACGTCGTATATATGTACATCGGACAGATTTTTTTTAAAGTTTGAAATTTCAAAACGAATGGCACACAGAAAAGTTTGTTTTTAAAAAGAAGTTTTGAGTGTGATTAATCTGAGGCTTTTGTTTAACCCTTTGCAATCTGGAGTAAAATTACTTTTGAAATAGTTTGGAGTGTCGAAACATTTTATCAAAAATTCAGTATCAATAAATCTTTAGATTATTTTAGGACTGAAAAAGTTAGTTTCAAGAGTCAAATAAGAGCCTAGATTAATCTATATATTGTAAAAACCATTTATTTTAATGTGATGTTTTGTCAACATTTTTGTTCATCCATATACAAATTACCAAAACCTGCATGATGCATCTGCATTGTTATTTTTATTCATATCAGTCACAACAATAATAAATACATACAAACTACTTAACTGACATATCAAGTTTGTGTAATAACATCTACAGTGTACAAAGCATGGACATTATTGTTGTGTGTTTGTATTAAATGGAAAGTGTCGGTAAAGAGAAACTATTGAGATCATATAGTATTGCTATATATATACTCGCAATGCTTCAATTAATTCACCAGTTGATTATTATTTTATTTTTAAAATAGAATGTCTTGGATACGTGCTGTTTGGATAGAAGGAAACCAGGAGGAAGAAGGAGTAGTTCCTAGTAATTGGGTCAAGGGAAAGATTTTGTATTGGCCTAATGGGATCAATGCAGAAAAGGCCATAAAAATGGGGAGAGAGCCAACAGATAAGTGGAGAAAATTTCAAGTTATAAAGAACAAGTGTCAATCAGGTATGCATTTATTCTTATATACATGTATATGAAAATATTAGTACTCGTTCAGTTCATTAAAGAATGTATGTGGCCAAATTTGCTGCAAAGAAAACTACTTTCTTTGAAATTTGAGAATTAAAAAAACCCATAAAACTTATGGCAATACATGTACATTATGTAGGTTTTTTTTAAATTTTGAACTGTTATCAGTACACTTGATTGAACATAAACACCGACAAATATAGTACTATAGCTATGTGAAATGTATATCTTTAAATAAACACATACAAATATAAACACCGACAAATATAGTACTATAGCTATGTGAAATGTATATCTTTAAAAATGGTACTTATGGTTTTTCTCTTCCCTTTTATGCAGATAGCCGTACAGAGTGTGAGGAATATGACCTCACAACATCCTTAGAGACAGATGATGACTCGCAAAGAGAGGGGAAAAGAGAGAGGAAAAAGAAAATCTTCAGAGATTTTGTTAATGGTAAATAACAAGATAATATACTTTATGACAAAGGAACATATATATAGAGAGAGCATCTCAGAAAATGAATCGGAATGATTTTACTTGATATTATATTATCAACATATTAAATAAATGGATTTTTTTATTGAAATATAATCCTTTTTGGTTTATGCAAATGCATATGTATAATCCTGCTTTGAATGAACTTTAACCAATGTTTTATATTTTATATATGAACACTGACTGTGTGTGTGGACATTTATTGGGGAGACATATGCCTGTGGTAGAAGCATATGATATTGATGAATCCACCAACTTTAGTAAAATCTCATATTTCTTTTCATTTGATTTAGATGAAAGTGATGACAAGCAGCCGGACCAGGATAAAACTTCACCTGCGATTACAGAACCTGTTGTTGGCAGCTCTGGTATTATATTTGATTTAATTGAGTTTTTGTAACACTTGCATAAAAAAATTCTCAAATCATAATTTAAAGGGCCGGTTTCCAAAACGGCCCCTTCTCTGATTCAAATTTCCTGTTGGTGGTGCATTGCCCATGCCGTTGTGGTCACAAATCTATAAAGTATAAAGATTTAGGTCACTTGGTTTGTTTTTTATGGCTCCTCAAAGTTGTACCTTTCAGAAGCTGTCTAAGTGTTGATAAAATGTGCATGTTATGTAAAATATTAATGAAAATCTAATCAAATGATGGTCACCGTAAAGAATACATTCATGGCATGATTGTGACAAAAAATCATGTTTCCATCGCGCCATTTGGCTGTTTTATGGAAGAAACAATCTCAAAAATGCCATTTTCGATGATAACATTTTAGACACAAAAACTGTGTTTTTTAGAGAATACACCCTTTTATGGGCGTTGGATGCAAACCAATTTTTATCCTATTAAACAGTACGTAATATGCTATTGATGAGAGGAAAAATCATCAAAATGTAAGTGGTGGAACATTTTCAAATGTTGGGTTGAATTAGCCTATGGTTGAATTGCCGATTTTCGACTTTCTTTAGATAATTAACAAAAAAACGAGAGTATTTGCTCGGTATGTTGAGAATATGTACACAGATATGAAAAAAAGTGAGAGAAACACTTTTTCATAAAAAAAATCCAAGATGGCTACTTCACAAGTCCCCGTGGTTGAAGACATTGGCTGACAAATAGACAGAACAACAAACAAAACGTGTTCCTTATGATTTTGGTTGGTTTTCGCATTTACGGGAGTGTTCATAGCTACGGGCGATTGTATAATACCTATATTTATAAGTTTGGTTAGTCACATGGTAACGGGGATCTTTCATATCGAGCCCCAAACATACTTTCGACATATGCACTCCGTTGCCGCATGGAAAACTATTTCAAGTTTTGTCGGAATTTCTTTACCTGTGGTTGTAATGGTCGAGGGTTTTCCAGCGTCCTGTAATACCCAAGGTAGTACAAGATACTGGAGATGTGCGCACACATTCCCATCGTTCTCTCTCCAACTGGGCACTGGCAGTAGTAGTCCTTTATTGGGGCCTCAACATCGGGTGAAACGGTGAACCGTATCCAAACGTTATATTTCGTTTGGCTTTTGTGTCGAGAATGTATTTGACATCGGAGAAGGTCTGGGGAGTGCTGGTAAAGCCACACCTCATAGTCTCCGTCATCACTTAAATGTTCGGCGATGTAACCAGGAGCCAGAGATATCTGATACGTTCCACACGTAATGGTTCTCAAGTAATCAAGATCGAGACGGGGAAACAGTACGGAAGATGCATCCATCTTGACAAACTCGGACCTTGCCCGTCTAGATAGATCCGGATCTGTCTTGACTCTCTGAGCTAAACCATTCGGTGTTGTCAAACGGTCCTTCATACGTTCAGCCATTAGCCTATCTTTGGCATCTCTCTCTGGAGATCTCTGGTAGATCGGTCCTCTAATACCATTCAGACAGGCTGTGACGGTTCGAAGCAAAGCCTCGATGACATTGATAAAGCTGTTAGACACCAATTGCGTTCGGAAGAACGTCCAGTGTTTCAGACGACCATGATAGGATTCCACAATCCACCTCGATTTGGTGATAGTTCTGTCAAGATTTGCTTGGACGTCAGAATGTTGACTTTGACCGGGTTTCAGGTATGACGGCATGCTAGCATTGAGGCCAGAGGCTTCGAGAACTGGTAGGACATCTCTAAAACCTCGGTCAACGACAACGTTGTCGTCTGGTTGTAGCCAAGTAACTAGCTTGTCCATGACTTTTTTTGTAATTGTAGCATCATTTTCGCTGCCAGTGAATGGTCCTACTGTGTCCAGAATGTAGCCATCTGGTAAGGCGATGCTCATGAATTTGAGATAGTTTCTCTTCTTCTGGCCACAGTAGGACATTCTCTGGAGCTTGTGGTCGGAGCTTTTCTGGATATAAATATAGGTGCCATCTAATATGGCAGTGGCTTTATCTCCAAAAAATGCTTCTGAAAAGACAGTATTGTGCCCGAGCAACTGTTCTCTTGTCAAGTGATCCGGACCTAGAAATTGTGGGACTATCGATGTGTCTAATGCCTGTACTATGGAGTGGAAAGTTTTGGACACACTTGACTTGGAAATTCCAAAAAGAGAAGAACACTGACTCCAGGAAATGTCGGTTTTCAGTTTTACCCAGAACAGTAATAGAGCATCGTGTGTAGTCTTGGTATATATACCAGATGAAAGATATGGGGAACAGTGCGAGTGGATTTCGAGGAACTGATCTTTGGACCAACCTGTCCAGGCCATGCATGCCGAGTCATCAAGAGAAGAAAAGCTTATTGTAAACGCAGACTGGTTCTGTGAAAGGACGTGCGACACCTCTAGGAGGTCATTAATGATTTCGGACGATTTTGATGGTAACTGAGATTCCAAGGAACCTCTACCATCAAGGACAACCTCTGTAGACGGATCTAAGTCGTTACCAATAAGGTGAATGGAGCAGACGCGGGATGAGGTGGGACACCACAGTTTGTGTGAATAGATCAGGTGATGTCTTGCACGTTTTGGTAAGACTGATGATTTTGTTCCATTTCTTGCAAAGGTAACAAGACAGAGACAGCATTTTTTGTGTGAAGATGATCCATTCAAAAGATCATGAAGGGTCAGCAACGGCAGGATATGGGACGGGGAGTCGTCTTCTTCCTCTATTTCCTGGTTCTGCTCGGGTTCAGGTTCAGGCTGATTTTTGTTCCGAAGATACTTCATGTAGCACTTCTGGCAAATAAGTGCTTGTTCCTTTGCTGACATCAATCCTTGTTGCACCAGCGTATCTAGGAGCCATTTATATTGTGGACTATTTACATTGCGTGCACTTCTGTTCTTATTGCCACTACGTTTCTTGAAGTATACTTGACACCCTTCTCCAACACATTTACCCTCCATCTTGAAACAATAACGATTGGTTTATGAAGCGTCGATAAAGTAACAAAATAGCAAGCCACCGATGATTGCTGTAAACAGCTAATACTTAGTAGTTTGGTACAATTATGCGAAAATGTGTGATAAATAACGAACAACTAATTACACAAAATAACAAGACAATATAATAAATCACATTCAATACCTCCAAGAAGCGCAGAATTGATTGATTACTTAGAACAAAATAAAGTATTTCATATGGATAATCTATCTATTCGATGTGGCGTGGTCGGCAGGCACAAAGAAAGTGAGACAAGTCAGGGTCCCAACCCTGACAGAGCCACAACGCTTTGGAGATGGGACAATAAAACAAGGAAAGTGAGACAAGAATAGCTAGCGTCGAGTCAATGATTCCGTAAACGTATAGACAAAGACAAGAAGATACGGATAAATGTACAAGGCCACACGATCAGAAAATTCAGAAGAGGACAACTTGAGATAGAACAGTATTCATGTATCAGGGTGTCCTCAGTGTAAATCTTTATATCGATACTGTTTATTTAGTCGTTACACATCATAAAACTGTCATGAAAATATCCGCTCTGATATTCAATATAAAAGTTTGTATATAATAAGCTATATAATAGGGTTTCAGACAAGGTTGTTACTCATTTCCCCTTTTCTTTCAATTTACAACCACATTCAGGCGGCGATATGAGAACGTTCCACCACATGGAATTAGCTGATTTTTGGTACACATATGAAACAAGTAAAGCTCTATCCGATTTTCTGATGGAAATTTGCATCCAAAACTATATAACGGGAGAAAATTGCAATTTTATGGCATTTTTCTTCATAATTGTGTCTCTGCAAGTGCATTTTCATCCGAGAATATTTTTTTTTATGTTTTATGAATAAACACGATGTTTTGGAAATATTTATCAAAAGAAATTTATACTATGTTGCGAATTACAATTTCGAGATAACCTTCTTTTATTTACGAACTTATGTCTTTGATGCTGAAATTGACAACTTTATAAAAATACATTTTCACTGAAATTATGAAATCTGGGTGTCGGAAAGGTGTAAAATTATTCTTCGGAAAAGAAAAAAACAGTAGTTGAGCTAGATAAGAAATTATACGGGGGCAGGCTCCTATGGAGAATTAACATTACTGGAAACAGGCCCTTTCGGTTAAATCCTTCAGATAAGTCATGTGTTTTATTTTTCTTCCATGGAAATATACAATTTTAAAATATAAATGTTTCTGTTCTTTCAGGAAGCAAATCTTTGCCCATCCCACCAAGAAAACTTCCAGTGATGGAGAAGTCAAAATCATTAGAAAGAAGAGTGCATAGCAAGGACAGATTAAGTGAAATACCCAACAGATCCAACCAACAAAAGTCACCTGTTGTTCAGTCTAGGTCACGATCAAGGTCAAAGTCAAGTTCAGCAGATCTAGACTTGGAGGGGGCAAAGTCACATAATAGGCGATTCAGGTCACATACTAGAAGTAGGTCAAGGTCATGGTCAAATGTAGAGAAGTCAGGGGCAGGAAGTAGGTCAAAATCAAGGTCAGTAGATTTAGAAAGATCACAGCCTAGGTCAAAAATATGGTCATCAGAACAAGACAAATGCAGATCACAAGGGAGAGACATATCTCCGTGTAGGACTACTAGAAGATTTCAATCTAGGTCAAGGTCAAGGTCACGTACCACAAACAAGTTTATGACTCCAGTCATACAATCTTACAGAGATGTATCCAGGAATCAGCCAATGGCTTTTTTTAGATCTCCTACATCCCAAAGCAGAGAAGAACGGTATTCCTTTATAAGGTCAAGGTCAAGATCTCGATCAGTTTGAGAAAGGTCAATGTCTCGATCAGTTCGAGAAAGGAGGTCGAAGTCAAGGTCAAGGTCTCGATCAGTTCGAGAAAGGTCAATGTCTCGATCAGTTCGAGAAAGGAGGTCAAAGTCAAGGTCAATGTCTCGATCCGTTCGAGAAAGGAGCTCGAGATCAAGATCTCGATCAATTCGAGAAAGGAGGTCAAAGTCAAGATCTGCTAGAGATAGATTTCACATCAGATCTGTCGGAGAATCACCATTGCCAACTCAACATACCAGCACTGGTAGGAGGAGTAATGCTGACAACAAACCCCAGGCTTTCCCAATGCCCGAAGGAAGTGAGTTGATGAGTGTTTTTTTTTTTCAATAAAAGGCATAGTGAATGTGTTATATTTGAGAGAGACCAGTAACATTTTATTACAGCTAAAGTTGTTTTCCAAAATGGTCACTTTATTTAGTAATCAAGTTCAATAAATAATATAAATCTATATTTCATATGAAGGGATTTCTTCGTGTATTTTTTTGCAAAAAAAATGAAAGCAGATTTGTTTTACTCCTTTGCACATCCACTGTTTTGAATGACAGCAAAATAATAGTATAATAAGAAAGTACAAGACAACTTATTTTATAGTGTTTGTGTTGTCTCCTTTCATATATAATTGACTCATTATACTATTTTATTGCCTCTTCCATAGGATTTCAGAAAAGGATCATGTACCTGCTGACAGATATCAGGACAGAAATCCAAAAAATTGCTAATGGGTGTGGCTCAATGGCACCATCAGGAACAGAGGCAAACTTGCCATCAACAGCCACCTCGACAGAGAATCTGCATGATTTAGACAACAAACTGAAAACTCTGGAGGAAAAACAGAATCTGGTGAGATATGTTATTTTTTTGAAAAACAAGTATTATGTTATGATATATAATTTACATGTGCTTAGTGTTATACAGATTTTTTTCCCCACATGTTTGTTGTTAAACATCTGCTTGTTTCTAAGAGCACATTGTTTTAATCAGTTTTTATACCCCCGTCAAATTGACGGGAGTATCATGGGATGGCGCTGTCCTCTGTCATAAACTCTTGTTTGTCCGGCAATCTTCTCCTACATTTTTCAGCTGATCTCTTTGAAACTTGGTATACATTATAACCGCGGTACTCTTGTTATAATATGAGGTTATTGTTTTTTCTAGACTCGACAACTGGCAAATATCGCAGGACAACATTTGAAGGACAATATAAAAAAAATCATGTGCAGGTAAGTTAGTTTGCAACTGTACCTTAAGTTATTTTCAATATATAGTAAGAAAATCTTAGTAATTGTAGAATTGTACATTTTCGTTTACTTTCTGTATGTATAAAGTAAAGTAAAAGTTGTAATAAACCTACATCAGATGTGCCGATATTTGGACAGTATCACATTTATTATTTCATGATGTTTAAACCAGTGCATTAGTTCAGTAATTTTTGATTTTCAGGTTGATGACCAATGATGTTATGTCAGCCTTCAACATGAAGGGGAACAAGGGGAAACTTTCATTTGAAAGCTTGAATTTGTATCAAGTTGTGAAAGGTAAGGCCATTTTCATCACACTAGTCACTTGGCTTGCTCCGAGTCTAATGATTCAGATTAAAAATTAATGTGGGAAATAGTAAATAAATGTATCATTTATGAGATGTTTATCGCAAAACCATAAATTTACACCTTATAAACATTAGGAGTAAAACATAACATTTTGAGAGTAGATAATGAGTTAATTGTTACAAGTAATAAGGCAGAGTCACGTTCAATAAAATATTTTGTATTTTTTAATTGCAGAAAGTGCCCTAAAAACACCGACGGGGAAAGATGCCACAGAGCATGCTGTGGATATGGCTATCGCGTCTTGCTTAAAATATGCACCAGATAGACGCGGTGGAGGGGGGAGACCAAAATAAATAATGATATAAAGTGTAGTTTGTGGTTTTTTGTTTATTTTGTATCTATATTATTGCTTGGAATTCAGGAAATGTTTTTTTTGTGGATCAAACCTAGCTATATGTGTGTGACTCAAATAAAAAGTGGAGAACTGGCTGAATTGCGTCTTGGTAAAAGGGGTGTCAAAATATAAAAAAAAATGATATTCACACTTGCCTGTACAGAATCCTGAGAAGATAATTAAATAAACAGCTACATGAAGGTCAGGCTTATTTTAGGTATGTAAAACGTTGCTTAGACGTCAGATTGCTGACGTAAACCTGACGTCGGGACTCTGACGTCTATACAATGTCAAGTTTTGACGTCTAAAAAACTTTAATTTTCAACCAAAATCCAACGTCAATCCAACGTCAGGGTCTGACGTTGATCCAACGTTTATCCAACGTCATTAGCCCACTGGGTAACATGCTAAATATATATGTCTGAAGAATCTCCTAGAAGAGATGAAAGTACTAATAAAAGACTTGTTGAGAGAAAAAAAATATAAAATGTATATATATATATTACATTTATAGAGATTTTTTTCTTCTAAAAGTGAAGATCAGGTTCATCAGCTCAGTTCATTTAACTTATTTCAAAATGGGTAAAACGTTGATTTCCATCGTCTTGCTAAATTTAGTAGCATGTGACGGTACTGTATTGTTACAGGGTTGTACTATGTATTTGTTCTTTTCCCCCCTGAAAGGTTGATGAATCCATTGTGTATGTCAGGCCAACATGTCAGGCTTCTATGAAGAAACACCACTATCAAATGTATGTGTGTGCAACCCTCTCCCCTGACAAGGACAAACTAGAATATGCCTACTGCCAGTGTCCAATTAGGTAGTTACATTTTTTTACTCAAGTTTACATGCATGGTATCTAAATATAACCAGATTTACTCTGCATTTACATACTCATTGATTCAATATCCATACCAATTTGTTTCAGTGTACTTGTTCTTTACTGACTTTAGGGACAATAGGGTAATGAGGCTTAAATTTAAACTTTTGTTTTGATGCTTTAAGAATTTATTAGGGAGTGGGGTTGTTACAATCTAAACAATAAATTCAATTAATTGAATAACATGATAAAACAATGCAAACAATATGAAGAATAGTTCAAATTTCAGTCTTATCAAATATCTCAAAACAGACAGCAGTGAGTGAAATAATAATAACTAATTCATTTTTAGTCCAAGTTGAATTTAATATCTGGTCACATAACATTTATACTGCATAAATTTGTACAAATGGTGTTCACAGAGGAACACTGAAGTAGAATTCTGTATTCACTAAATGAAATAAACCAATAATTTTAACTGAAATTATTACAGACTATCACAGGCATGCAGCCACATTGGTGGGCTTTTATTTGCTTTGGCGCAAGGACAAACAACAAAAAAAGGAACATTGGAAGAAAGCTGCATCTCCAACTTTTGTATGTGGGAAGTCCCTAGGAACCAGATTAAAGCGCAACCTCTACGAAATTTCCAGCTGGCTAAGCCAAGAGTCACCCCAAATAACCTTACAAATACAATCCAGCCAACACCTCAGGGTAATTTTGATCCAAGACATTCTGAGAACAGGTCTCACGACTTCCACAAAAGTCTGCAGGAGCTGAGGAAATTAAAGGAGGTTTTCCCCCAAACAGGTATATATAAAAAAAAAGTATTTTTTTCCATTTAATGCATTAAACTCAATCACTGCAAAGATGAATTGAATGGAATACTGTCAATTTTTTAAAAAAAAAAAAAAAAAAAAAAAAAACAGGATAAAAAAATGGCATCATTAATAGTGTTTTGAATGCAACTTCTGTTTCTCTATTTTGGTGTAAACTTTTATTTAATGTACAAATATTTTGTTGTACTTTTAAAAATTAATTTATGAATATAAACATAGTATATGCATTGAGGAATTATTTTTGCTCTTAGGAATGTCACACTTTTGGAACATTCCTGACCATGTGCCAGATGTATGCCATGAAGAAGAGATGAAAACATCAATACATCCACTACAGTAAACTTGTGTCGGGTCTTTCTCTACCTTGATGGTAGGACAGAGCTAGAGATATTAACAAATTTCTACAGTAAATATATCTCAATAGATTAATGTATAAAGTTGGTAGGTATGATAAAGGATACCATCAGTTTATCTTAGTGCTTCATTATATCATTTTATGCTGACATCACCTATAAACACTATGAAGAGGTATCAAGGACATGAATTGGTGATATCAGAAACTGACATGAGTTACATAACACTGTAATAAAGTGATGTCACATAATTCTGATAGCGATATCAGCATTAATGTCAAATAAATTGGTCTATGACTGTCATAACCAGATGATTTGAATAAGTGGAATACAATGCCTAAGTGATATTACCAATTTCATTATTTTGGTATCACTTAAATAGAATTCAGTATATGGTGTCCGATACTTTGAATGTGCTGTACTTTTTGTCAATTTTACAGTTTCATTTAAAAACAATTTCAACCAAAGGGTTATTGTCAATAATGATTTATATTATATATACATGTATATATATTTATAGATGTTTCTTGCTCCTGAAAGACAACAATAAGGACTCATCATTCATCTTTCATAAAGCCTAATTTTGACTTACTTGTACAGCCACAAGAAAACGGCAAATGTTGGGAGACCAGTGTAAAATCGTGTCCGTGTGTCATTGTCCTTTATTTTGCCTACTCCCCATTTGAGCTGGCGTACCTCCTCTTTTAGTAATCTTACTTCCTCCTGGAGTCGCCTACTCTCCAAGAGAAGAGGGTCTTCATCACATTGGACACCTATGGGGATCAGGGAGAATTTCAAATTGTTTTTCATTTTTTTTTTCCCATCAAGGCACTGAAAAACAGATTGTGATACTGTATGTTGTGTTTTATTTCTAAACAATTTCTTCATGTTGGTTAGTATAGATAGAATAAAGGAATCAAACCTTTGAATGTATATAGTAATATAAAGACCCAGAATGGAGGCTGTTTGGGAAAGTAGGTTTATAAATCATTGAATAAATAATCAAAACTGAGGAGGGGTTAATTACAGGAAATACAAGTATTTCTTTACCAGTGTCAACATGAACATTAACATCTGTGTCATCCTCTTCTTGAACCTCAGCCTCAGCTTCAGGTTCTGGAACAGGCTTACAGGACCCTCTGTGCATGGGTGAAGACACTCTCTTGTTTACCTCCTCCAGCGGTATTTGTTTTGTTTTCAAATATTGGCTTTCCTGTACATAAAAAGAACACACAAAAATATTATGGAAAATAAATATTTCAAACTCGTTGCAAAGCTATGGAAAATAAATTGCAGACATATGTAATTAACTACCATGATTCTTTTGACAGTTAACGGTAGTTTTCACAACTCGACATAAAATTTGACAATCAAAAGTTTTCTTTGAATGCAAAAAAAACTCACCAACCTCCC